TTGTGCTTTTAAAGTTGTAGCAATGTTTAAAAGCACAACTATAATGATGTGGGAAAATACCTGAACAAAGCTGAATACCATACATATAAATACCCGTGAAAACTTAAGAATATATATATATGTATATGTATATGAATATGTATACATACCTATACCTATACCTATATATATATATATATAGTATATAATATATAATATATATAGTATATAATATATAATATCTCTAACGCTCCCTCATCCTTTCACTTCTCTGGCCTCTCGTTCCTCGTTTTCTTTGGTCTTTTCTTACCGTCTTGCCCGCCTGAACCCACCACGCGTGATCCCGTCCGCTTTTTCTTCTATCCATCTAAAACAAACCCGCTGCCGCGTCTCTCCGGTAATCGGGGCGGTCGCCGCCGCCGCCGCCACTGGCGATCGATGGGAGGGCGGTCTCTCCAGCTGGCGGCGGCGGCAGGACGGGAGGAAGCCCCGCCTTTTTCTTTGCCACGACTTTGATTGTTGTTGTTTTGCTTCGGCGGGAGTGCGCAGCCAGGTCGGTGCGTTCCCCTCCTGCTTCTCCGGGTGCGAGGCAAGGCGAGCGCCCGTTGCGTTCCTCCGGCGGGCTTGTGCCGTTTGGGATGGCGTGCGCCTGCGACGCAAAGCGGGCTTTGGGGGGAGCGGAGGCAGCGCCGGCGGCGGAGGCGGCGATGCTGGGACCCACCTTTCCTTGGGGCTACTTTAGGAAGGAGGGAGGTCACAAGGGGACCAACGGAGGCTCTCCGGGGCGGCAATAGATGGGATGCCTGGCGGGATTTTGCGCCTTTTTGCAGGCTTCTGGGCCCTCGTCCCTCCCTCCCTCTTGCTCCTTGCTTTGCTTTGTGCCGGCTCTTCCCCTGTCTAACTGATTGCCTCTTTCCTCCTTTCTGTTGCTTTCTGTCTTGCTTGGCTGCTCCTGGCAGGTCCCATTTGCTCTAATTCGGGCTACAAGAAGGCGGATGATGAGATGTCCGGGGCCACGTCCTCTGCAGACCAGGGAGAGGCAGCAGCTCGCACCATTTACTTGAATGAACCTCAACAAAGCAAGTTCCACGACAACCGGGTCAGGTAAGAAGAGCCCCGGTCTCCACAGTAGAGGCAGGGGAAGAGAGGAAGCTGGGTGAAAGTCCAGACTCAGCCCAAAGTACCACCATCCGCTGTGAACTTGACCAGACTTCCAAATACCCTAATGGAAAAGTTAGGCTGCAAGAGGCTAACTCTTGCTTAGCTGCAGGGATAGAGGTGGAAGGATAAGTCAAAAGTGGCTTGTTTGTGAGTCTGACTGGGCAGCCTTGTTTCATCTCTACCGAGAAATTGCCACATGCTTTTTGCTAATTTCATATTACAAGGTATAAAACTACCACAGAACTGAACATAATTTACCCTCATGCGTTGTGCAAAACCTGCTCATATTAAGTTGGTGTGCCCCTTTAATTCTGGAAAGTTGGACTTAGAGACTGAACTATGGCTGAACAAATCCTGGAAACACAAATTTAAGGCACCAGATTTAGTGAGTCCCACTTTTCTAGATTTCAAAAGAGAGAAAGAACATCTATAAGGTCGAGAGAGTGCATTCAGTTAATTTAAAAAACAAAACAAAACGGAGTGAATTATGTTTGTGCCTCAGTCAAACAGAGATGTTGAAGCTTGTGGTATCCGCACCAGAATGATTTGTTATTTTAATTATTCAGTAGCTGTTAGCCAGAATGATGTCCAAGTTTCTCTGAGCGGTGAAATAATCATATAAGGAAGTAGGTATGAAGCAGTAAGAAACCAGGATCTCCTGATCAGAGTAAGAAAGAGAGTGAAAGTCAAAGGGAAGTGATGGCTAATAGGCTGTTATTTACCAAAGGAAGAGAATATTTTTAGCTTAAGGTTGAACTGTGGGATCTTTGGTGCTCTCTGAGTTTGGTAGTTTTCTTGCAGATGTTTCATTACCAAACTAGCTAACATCATCACTGAGGCACAATAGTGAGAGATCAGTTACTTCTGATTGTACAGTGACGCTCTTACTCAGGATGAGGAGATAAGCTAATAATGGACAGCTTTGTTGGGCAGCCGGCTAAATATGGACATGTGTAAAAGAAGTTGCAAATTCACCATATCTTATTTGCTCTCCAAATGGGAAAAAAGACTAAATCATGCATGTTAATTCAATATGCATAAGGCATCATGTTTTTGAGAAGAGGGAATGACAGTTTTTGTCAGTTCTTGTCTACTGTATTGTGTGTTTGACAGGTGCTCAGTTATATATTATGCTTAACCATGGCCTGTTTTAACAGGTTTGTTGAATAAGCCATGCTCAGTATGGCTTATACCAAGCCAAAACCAAAGAAAAATACACCAACAGTGCATTTCGTGATCTCAGCCAGCAACTTTCCCAGTTCTTTCCATTTCCTGAAACTTGATCTTTTTATTTTGACATGGCCAAGGATTGATTTTGTGTGAGATGTGTATTTAGGCAAGTATTGATGAATGTGTTTTGATACACCACTGATGTGGAGTCAGTCAGAAACCTAAAACACTGCTTTAAAAGACACTGGTTCACATATGTGACTTTTAAATTTTCCTATGTGTGAACCCAACAGTAATGGCTTATTGTTGGTCTTTATTAAAATTGTGTTTGGTAATGATGCATGAATTAAGGTACTAATTAGCAGCAGTTCTGCAGAGTTTCAAACCAGCATATCCAACTTCATGTCCAAATCTGCCTCTTTTACCTATACATTGCCCTTAAAGGAGAGAGTCCTAGACTGTTGTCAGTGCATATGTTGTTCGAGTGAAGCCAGTTGTGTGAATGGAGCTTTGAAAGATTAGAATTGGAACCATTACTCTTTCCCTCTTTGTTACTGTTTTCAATAATACATATTTAATTTGTGTGTGAGACAAAATGATAAATTGTACTTTGGATAGCAAATGTTAAAAATCCCGTCAAAGTAGTATCAATTGAAAGGATTATATTATTAAACCTTTGGCAAGATTTTGGTCAAGAAGGTTATTGCATTTTGTCAGGATTGCAGCATCCGTTTTAAACAGACAAACAGTGATAAAGTGGCTGAAATAATTTATCCAGTTCTGAAAAGCATCTTTAATGCAGGATGATTGCTCTTTGGCATCGGCTGGAAGAATCTTAAGTAACGGATAGCACATTAAAATAATATGGTGATGTGAATATCTCAAGATGTACAGACTAGAAGAGGATGAGAAAAACATACTAGAAAATATTGCAACAGGAATTTTGGCTATTCCCTACCTTGCACCTTTCCTTGAATGTCCTATTCCCCCTCCCCATTTAAACATTCTGTGATCCCAGAAGATCTACTTTTGATCAGTGGATTAAGTTTTGTTGAATGAGAGTCCCTGTTCCAGCTCCCTGCCAAGACATTAGACAGGCTTTCTTTCCTCAAGACTCACCAAAACGCTCACTCACTTTTCACATGCCCATTTCCTTCTGCCTAAAAATATCTGCAAACGTTTGCTGCCTGCCCTTGTCATGTATTTCCTTGAAACATATTACTTTGAAATTACAGAAATGATCCCAAAGTGATTGCTAGAATAATAAAAAGAAGAGGCTCTTTGCCTAACAAATATACCGTATTTATCGGCGTATAACACGCACTTTTTCCCCCTGAAAATAGGGGGCAAATGATGTATGCGTGTTATACGCCGATGTCCAGGGAGCGGAATCCTCTTTAAGGGATCCCGTTCCCAATAGTGCCTAGCGGCGGCGCAGCGTCGTGACGTGATGTCAGCGCTGCGCCCGCCGCATATTTTTTTCCTGAAATTTCCCTCTTAAAGGGAATGCGTGTTATACGCCTGTGCGTGTTATACGCCGATAAATACGGTAACTTTGATAAAAGTTATATTTGACTTTTAGACAAAAGACCAGCAGTAGCTGGCCCTTGGATGAGAAGTAGAGCTGGATCTTTCAGAGTTTTTCTCAAGCATTTTGAGAGCATCAGGGTTGGGAAGGCTGCTATAGAGTTATCTGGATGTCAGCATTACTAGATTAAAAGGGACCTGCTTTCAAATAGAGATATGAATAGAATTGCTGTGTTGGCCATTCCTTTCCATCAAGTTGCAAGTTCTGTAAAAGTCTGCCGCTTCCATCACAACGTGTGATATACCTTTCATTCTGCCACAGATAGTGGAGCCGTGGGGAAAATAGATAAAATCCCTCAAATTCAACAAATCCAAAATCACTTTTTAAACTTTTATCCTATGACTCATGACTCCCCCAGAACTTCAGTCCTGCACGTCAGTTGAATTAAAACTGACTTCTGAGGAAACCTATACAAGATTGCACTGTCTTTGTATTCATTTATTATGAAAAAAATATGGGCTAGGCTACACTTCAGAGGTTGGAAAAAATTCAGCAGTTGCTTAATTGTTCTTTGTTGCAATCAGCAGAAATGTAAATTGATAGCTTCAGTAGCACAGTAGCCTGCTAGGACCAGGAAAAGGCAGCTCTGAGTCCACTCTGTGTTATGAAAGTCCATTGTGCTTTGGGGCCAATCATTCTCTCTATTACCATACCTTGCAAGGTGATTATTATGGGAAAAAATTGAAGTAAGGAGTGCTTTGCATATCACTTTGTGTTCCTGACAGAAAGGTGAAATAAAAATCTAATCACCAACAAATTGCTTATCTTTGGGTGGATTATCCACTGTGTAAGGAGTAGAATTCTAACCCAACTTCTCTATGCATTTTAGATTAATTTTTTTCTTAGGTTTTTTAAAAAATACATTAGCATCTTGACTTTTACCTTTTCCTTGTGATTTGGTGAGCTTCAATTTTTCTGTTATCCATTTATGTTCTTCAGTTTTTGAATACTAAAAGGCTGTATGTGGAGTTAGGTATATCATAATAAGCAGCATTTGGTGCTGTGAAAATGTATTGCAGTATGCCTGTGTGGTCTCTTTAGGTGTATAAAGAATGGCAAAGTACAAATTTTTCCAGGCAGAGTCTGTTCACTGATTTGACCTTAATCACCAGTCTTCAAAGCCCAGCATGCTAGCCTCAAGTTTGATTAGAGTAAATTAACTGCATTTAAAAAGTGGCGTGGTGGCTTAGGAATGAAATCAAAGGGGAAAGTTTTAAATTTAGGTAAATGAAATGTATTTTTTTCTTAAGTTCATGCTTCAGAAACCTTGTCTAGTTTAAAGGAGATGGTGAAGAAGTGCTGGAGATGGTATCAGAAAACTATGAAGTCCAGAGTCCTGCGGTATATTCATGATAACAATTTATACTAAGTCATCCATTTACATTTTCCACTCACTGCTGCTTTAAAAGAAAGCAAGAACCATAAGGGTCATCTGTAGTTGGGAGGGAAGGCAGTATATTCCCTATGTTGCACCATCAGCTCTGCGTTACACGCTCTTATCAGTGTGCTAGGAAAAAAGTGTGGTTTATCTGACCAAGGCTAGACTGGATCTACTGGCATTATGTAAGCCAGTGTTTTTCAGCTTTAAAATACGTGGCCTTCAACTCCCACTGAAATACTGGAAGTTGAAGGCCACACAATTTAAAGTTGCCAAGATTAAGAAATATTGATAAATATATTTGGTGGGGGGGCATCCGGACCTCAGAGGATAAAGCTCTCTAGCATCTCTGAAACAATGCTTCTCAGCTTGATTGCACATGGGCTGATTCTATTTGAAGAAGAATGCCCCATGGACCCAAATTATCCAGAAGTTTAAAAAGCAAGCTCAGCCCTTTGAATTGCATTTGGAAATACTTTTTATTTATTTTATTTGATTTGTCAATTGCTTACAAGATAATAGGTGTAAGTATAAATATAGTTATGAATACATGGATACATATAAGAAGAATAAAAGAAACAATAGGGACGGTAGGCACGTTGGTGCGCTTATGCACGTTTATACACTGGCAACCGGAGAACCACAAACAATACTTGAGGTACCTCCAAGTAGAATACATTGCTAATCCAATTTTAGAGTAAAAACAGCATGATGAACTGATCCCAGGGCCTCTCTTGTCAAAAAATGTCTCCTTCCCTTTATTTTTGTGTGTACTTGGGAGGGTCTTGTCTGATGCCATTATTCACG